GAACGAGTTTTGGAAGAGAATGAACTAACAAGAGGGTATGCTTAGGCTGAAGGCGAGAGAGACGTGACTGAAGGAAGGAGATAGTAACTCTAGTTACTTCCATAGAGTTATGAAGAGAAAAAGGTGTAGAAACAATATCAGCTTTTTCAACTCTTGTAATGGCAAGATAGAGAGTGCGGATGGGGTTAAGAAGAAGGTGAGGAGGTTCTTTAAAGAGAACTTTAGTGATGCTACTAAAACCCGTCCTTTCTTCGAAGACTTGGATTTGAAGCTGCTGTCTGAAGTTGACAAATGTAGTTTGGATTGTGAGGTCACTGAGAAAGAGGTTAAGAATGCAATATGGGGTTGTGTAGGAAGGAAAAGTCCAGCCCCTGATGGTTTTTCTTTTGCATTCTTTCAAGCGTGCTGGTGTATTATCAAGTCTGACGTGGTCAAATTTGTTATAGATTTCTGCTGCAAACCTGTTCTTACTAAGGCTGTTACTACTTCTTTCATTACTTTGGTGGCTAAAACTAATAATCATCAACAACTGTTGAACTACATACCGATTTTCCTGGTGAATTGTGTCCAAAAAATTCTCTTCAAAATCTTGGCTAGCCGTCTGAAAAAGGTTGTTGGAAGCTTGGTTTCGATTGAGCAGACGACATTTGTGTCGGGTAGGTGTATTTTTGATGGTGATGTGGTTGCTAATGAAGTCATGGATATAGCTAAGAGGAGTAAACAAGAATGTATGGTAATGAAAATAAATTTTGAAAGGGCTTATGACTGTGTGTCTTAGGTGTTCTTAAAGGCTTTAATGGAGAAGTTGAACTTTAGATCAAAGTGGTTAGGATGGATTGACTTGTTGGTTTTCAGTAGGACTATGTCAATTCTGGTTAATGGTAGTGCTACTAAATATTTTAATGTGAGTAAAGGCCTTCAAAAAAGAGATCTGATGTCGCCATTTCTCTTCATTTTTGTGATGGAGGTTCTTACTCTTTTGGTGAAGAAAGTTGTTGTTAGAAAGTATTATGCGGTAGTGTTTTATCGTATCCACAAGGATTGAAGAGAATATAGATGCTTGTCGTTCAACGGTTTAATGACTTTAGAAAAAAGGGGGTTTTTAGAATGGTTTCACTTTTCGTAACATAAGTTTTCAAGAAAGAAAACAGAATAAAAGTCGGTCTAAGTTTGATAAAAGCATGTCAAGATTAGGGTTCGCTAGTCCGTCCTAAACGTATCCAATTAATCAAATATGTGAACAAAGTTCTAACCAACATAATCGCGTATCCTCGCAAAAACATTCATCTCTAAAGCGATTTCGTAAGTGTTATTGTTTTGATCGTTAAATGATATCTCTAAATAACAATTGAAACAATAATCATTAAGATCGATACAACGTGGATATCAACTTTCAAATCTATGTCTAGCATTTGTATAGTTGATAGATGAAGAAGTTAGGTCAAGACTTGGAAAGTTCATGTCTAAAGCAATTCAAACCATAAATGTACAAATAGTAGCAAATAACTTCATCTACATTGAGCATAACATTGTTCACATACAAGAGATTAAGAAGAATACATAAAATCTAAACAAACTACTCCTAACCTTGAAAACAGAGGGATTTAGCCACTCATTTCCATGATAGCTTGAGCAACAAGTTTCGGAAGAAGGTTGATCAACATCTGAGTCGAGTAATCGAGAATGGATGGGAACTCACCTTCTTTTGGTGAAATATTGCTAAGAGATGATGAGAAATGAAAGAATGGGTTTTTTAGGTCAGAAAAATCCTCTCCAATGCAAATACAAAAAAATAGATATTTTTACAAAAAGTAGCCCATGCTACTTATAGAAGGGTCAACTGAGCTATCATGTTCGCTAGACAAACAAAGTTGTTCGCCTGGCGAACTCCAAAAGTGCCACCTGAAGTTCCTGTGCCCTGTGAACTCTCCCCAGACAAGTTTCCAAAAGTTCGCTAGGCGAGTAATCCTTCGCCTTGTGAGTTTATGGCCCTTTCCTTACTGTTTTAAGTTTGGGAGTGTTCGCTGGTTACTCGCTGCTTCTTCGCCTAGCAAGTGCTTCGCTGCCTCCCTCGCCTAGCAAGTTTATGACCCTTTCCTTACTATTTTGGATTCTTGGCCTTCGCTACATAGTTCGCCTAGCGAACTTTGTGAAGTTTTGGAGGGAGCTTCGCTAGCCAGTTCGCCTAGCGAACTTGCTGATGTTTGCTTGCTGTCTTGGTTTCTTTGTCATCTTTCTTGTGTCTTAATTCTCACCATTTCATGCCAAATTCCTGCACAATAATACACAAATTAAAGGTACCAAGATACTTTCACACAAAGTTGCAAACCAACCAAAGCAAGAGTGATTTTGAACACTTTCTTGACAAAAAAGGAGTGAAAGATGCCCACATTTGATAGCTCAAATAAGCACAATTGAGCATCTAACAGCTGTCCAATTTGATTTGTACAAGGGTTTCTTAGTGAGTTCTGAAGTTTCTTATAATATGGTCTAATTGGCAGATGACACTCTGCTGCTTGGTGAAGCTAATTGGAGTAATCTTTAGTGTATTAAAGTGGTGCTGCGAGGATTTGAATTGATGTCAGGGTTGAAAATTAACTTTTTCAAAAGCCGGATTGGAGGAGTGAATATTAGTGATGATTTCTTGGAAGCAGCATCAAATTTTCTTCATTGTAAAGTGTTCAAGTTGCCCTGCAAGTTCCTAGGGGTGATGATTAGTGACAGCACTAGAAAGGTTTTTGTGTGGAAGGATGTCTTAGACAACATTCGACGTAGGCTAGCGGTTTGGAAAGGTAAACACTTGTCTATTGGAGGGAGAGTTGTGATGATTAATGTTATGCTAAACACTATGCCATTATACGCTCTATCTTTTTACAAAGCTCCTGTTAGTGTCCTGAAATGATACAAAGGTAACAGAGTAATTTCCTGTGGGGGTGGTGGAGATAGTTCAAGGAAGATTCATTGGGTCGATTGGAGGATAATTTGCTTGCCAAAAGACAAAGGTGGACTTGGCATTAAGGACGTTTCACTCTTCAATAGATCCCTCACGGATAAATGGAAATGGAGGTGTCTTCATCCTGAAGGCTTGTTTTGGAAAGGCATTTTAGAGTTTATATATGCGAAGAACAAATTTGGGTTGGAAATTACAGGTTTTGATGGTAAGCCAGGTAAGAATTCTGATTCTATTTGGTGGAGAGACTTAATGGGGGTGAGTTTTTACAAGAGTTGTGGTTCTGATGTGTTTGTTGAGAATCTTAAGTGTACATTGAGAAACGGTAACAGTGTTGCCTTTTGGCATTGTAAATGGGTGATTGATGTCCCTTTGAAGGTTATGTTTCCAAACCTGTACCTTTTCTCCCCCAACTCAGGTGGTTCTGTAGGAGACGTGAGAGAGTGGAGTGATTTTATTTGGCGTTGAAAGCTGTTGTTCGATGATTTTTCTAGCGATTCAGTTATGGTTAGAGAGAAGGAGGACTTATTATAGTTATTGTGTTTAATGGAGCCATCGGCGGAAGATGATGTTGATTCTTATTCGTGAGATCCGACGAGGTCTTCTAATCCATCCTTCTTTCCTTCTTTTACTGTGGCGTCTTATTATGAGGTTCTGCTACTATCTAGGGCGTTGAATGTGGTGGGAGGTGATGTTTTGGGAGGGTTAAAAAAGGTTTGGGAGGTGAGAGTTCCTTCTAGAATTCAGGTTTTTATTTAGAGGGTTTTGAGAGATCGTATCCCAACTAGGATTTGCTTGCGAGAAGAAACATCTTTGTTAGGGGGAAGGGTTTGAGTTGTCCAGTTTGTATGAGCTTTGATGAGAATATTAAGCACTTGTTTTTAGAATGTGTCTATGCAGGAAAAGTTTGGTTAGGGGTTGAAAAGTAGTGTGGATTTCAAGTGTTCAAATGAGGCTCTTGTGTTGATTCTTTTACAGCTTTTAGAAGCTCCTCTAAAGTTGTAGCAGAGCAATCGATGGGTAACACCATTTGGCCTTTGACGGTATGGTTCCTGTGGGCGAACAAAAATTCTGTTTCTTTTAACGCCAAACTTTTATCGGTTGACGATACCATTAACTCTATTAAGTTCTTTTCTTGAAAATGATTTTCTATCGGCTGTGATAAAAACATTGGTTCATTTTATGACTGGTTCACTACACCTTATGAGTGTATTATGAGGGTATAGTTTGCTTGTGTTGTAAATGGGTTGTGCACTCCTTGTGCAGTTGTTAATTGATATCATTGCTTACTAAAAAAAAACTTCTAAACACTATCTATAACGTCTTTTATGACTATGTAAATTTTTGTTTAGAATTAACTCCAAACTATTGTTGATATGTCGTAGTTTAAATGTCTCATGAGATTTGTATTGTATGTGTTCTCTTAATTAATCTAATGAATGCATTATTTAAAAATAATGAAGATCAAAATTCTAACTCTAATAAAAATAAAAGTAAAAGAAAAAAGAAAAATCAGCATCTATCACAAATTGAGGTGGTAGAAGCAAAACTGACCTCATTGTCATAGCTATGTCTATTTTCTTTCTAACATTTTTTTATTATATGTAAGGTTAATAATCATACACTTAATTAAGTATTATTAAAAGATCTAAACATCTTCCACTTTATCACATCATATCAGTCTACTTAGAATCAACTTAATTTAATGCAAAATTATTGATCTTTAGGTGGGCATCTTGTCAAGAGGTTTGAGATGCCCCACTAAGGAGCATTACAGTTAGCTAGTCTTATAACATAATTTATGCTCACATGGAACCATTCTTTATGTTGCTTCACCAATAGACATTAATGAGTCAAACCATTAATAATAATGTTCCATTACTAAGATTCTTATGTTGTCACAATTATACGAATCTTATTTCCATTTACATAATTTATTAATTATTCATATGGTATAGTAACCATTTAATTTCTTATATAAAGGGTCATTTCTTTACCTTTCAAACTCATTAAACTTGCTTTGTTCTCTCAATTCATCATTGTTATAAGAATGTCTTCTTCACTTGAATTAGGAAATGATCAGTTCTCGGAGGCTAATAATGTAATTCTCATGTCCTTGATGGAAGAAACACATGAATTTGAAGATGAATACTTTGGTGATGATAAACTTGTAAGTATGATTCAATCACTTGAAGCAGAGATAAGTGACACTCAAAATTATGACATGGGAGGATATATGGATGGTCAAGATTGTTCCACGTCATCATTCATTGGTTCTGATCATTGGATTGATATGGAATTGGTCTCTTCCTCACCGTTTGATGAGGTGAATGTGAATGCATGGATGCCTTGTGAAAATGAGATGGAATATGAAGATCAAAATTTCATTGATGATTTTCAGATGTGTTGTGGAGTTTTCATGGAACAACAGCATAGAGAAACTTATAATTTGTCCCAAGTATCAAATGATGCAGTATTCTAAAATTAAGCAATAGTAATATTATTTGTAAGGAAAAAGTATCATATTGTCACATATTTGTGAAGAGAAGAGTCCTATAATACATATAATACATTATATGTGAAAGATCTTATTTAATGGCTTAGACATTTTTTTCTTCTTTTAATTAGTTTTTCTTCCTCTCTTACTTCTTTGAGTTGACTATATAAGCAAGAAAAAAAATCTATGAACTATGTGCATTAATGTCATGAGTAAAAAGCATTCTCACTTTAATCTCATCACAATGTTTAGTAATTCTAAAAAAACTAAGACTCCTAAGTCATATATAGTTAAAATATGCACAATTTTCAAATCAAATCACTATTAATAATTTCATAAATAAGAAAATTTATTATATCTTTGACACGTACCACAAAATGAATCACTCCTTAAAATCACATTCTCTTTGCAGTCGTCTTAAGAGGGATACATTTTTCTAAAGGTCAGGTTCAAAACCTGTATCGTAGACTTTAGTGGAGCAGGAATCTCTAGGCAACCTATGTCCTATGCAATAGGGTATACCACCACATCCGCTGACATTAGAATCCGGTCCTCACTAAAGAGAAATCTCCAATAAAAGCGAGTAAATGCGTATGATACACGTTCAAATTTCCCTTTCGATGTATATTTACAAATATTCTTGAGTCGGAGATTGATCACTTACCTTTTGTAGTATATAATCGTTGTTTGTCGAAATATGCACAACACAAATGATGAGGCCTATACTTTGTCAACATGAACATAATCCGGAATGAGTGAGCATTTTTTCTACGGTGCTAGTTGTGGTCGAACAAAATTTTTGAAAAAATACAAATTTAGAGTCCTGGTATGACTAAATTTTGTAAATACGTGAATGATTGAATATCAGCTCAACATACCAGGTATATTTATATAACCAATTATGCACAATGTAGCTTAATGTGTATCACATTTCACTAATTTGCATTGATGCATTATAAAAATGAACCTCATAATCATTAATGAATCTTATTCATTTAGTTAATCTTTAGTCTATTTGTCCTTATGTGTGTGATCCTACAAGTTTTCTTAATGTTATAAATAATATTTAATCACCTATTTAATATTATAAACAATGATGAATATCTAGCAACACACCACAACTTTCCAATTGAAAAGAATATCATGTGATATGGCGTAATCTTTCTTTGATAATGATCATGTGTATATTTATCCATTTCTCTTAAATCTACATCGAGTATAAGTCAGAGTATGTATCACTCTTGTATAGTCTAATATAATACTCTTTGATACCTAAGTATACTTAGCAACAATAAAAAAGTCTCAATAGCCCATATTGAATCATTTCAACATCAATATGCATTTTAAAGTCATACTCGTTTAGTAGACCTAAAGATATTATGCCCTTATATGCAGGAGAACCAAATCTCATTTAGGTCACTTTGCATGAGTCATAGAGTACCTAGTTTACTAGTTTAATAATCGTATTATTACATTAATTATTTGATAGTGTTAAAGTGATCAATTTCTCATGTAGGAACCATATTGGTTTTTGGTAGAAGAGTGACATACACAAGTCTCACTATGAGAATGAATTATGATACTTACATAACAAATTGTGTACTATTTTCATGGTGGGTCAATCTAGTATAAATATTACTACTAATAGATTTTTATGTATAGGTTGGTAAGAGCTAAAATTGATTTGAAATGAGGGAATATTTACAGTTGTTGTGAAAATCGATACTGGAATAACAAAGTATAATCGATTTCTTGATCAACAAGAAGCCCAAAAGGGTATCAAAAAATAGGGAAACAAAAAGAACACAATAAAATTGGTTATAAACTGCTATTCTTTATTTTCTCTTTGAAATAAGATTACAAGTGTTAAAGAATAGCAAATAACCTCTCAAACCCTAATTAGGATTTGCACTACACCCTTAAGATGAGAAACTAGCATGCTATTTATAAGAAAACTAGCATACTAACCTATGGGCTTTTATACACAAGCCCATTACACAAGCTAACTTAGGGAACAAGCTAACTTAAATAATTGGACTTACAACCAAAGCCAAATTTGACATGCTAACACTCCTAGCATACTTCGACTGCAGCATATGAACAAACTTCGACGACATGCTCATATTCTTTTGAATTGTCGAACCAAGAAGCTAACCTTCGACCATAATGGATTTCAATCAAATATCTTAAAAATCTCCACCTTTGAATAAACTCTATAGCATCAAGGGAACAAACTAGCTTTCTTCATGCAACTTTATCAACTGCATATAGTGGAAGAACTTATAACTTGGTAATGTCTTAATGATCATATCAACAACATTGTGATCCTGTCGAAACCTTCAACACTTAGACTTATCCACGCTCGATCATCCCTCTGTCGAAATGCAGTCTCACATTGACGTGCTTAGTTCGCTCATAATAGGCTGAATTCTACGACAGGTGTATAACACTTTGACTATCAAATTTAACAGTGACAACTCGATCTTGAAGTTTCAGATCTTTAGTAAAATCTTTAAGCCACAATGCTTCTTTTACAACTCCAGCGAGGGAGATATATTCAGCTTCAGTGGTTGATAAGGAAACAACCTTCTGAAGCATTGCTTTCCAACTTATAGATGTGCCAAACATAGTGAACACATTCCAAAAATAGATTTTCAGGAATCTATACAACATGCATAATCAGAGTCGATATACCCTTCAATTTCAGCTTTATTATTTTCACCACACGCTCCCCCATAAATCACGATCTGTTCAGAGACTCATTTATGTACCTTAGAATCCACTTAAATTTTTTCCATTGAGCCTTTTTAGGATTCGTCATGTACCTGCTTACAAGACTTACTGCATATGATATATCAGATCTAGTACAAACCATAACATACATCAAAGAACCTAATATGTTAGCATATGGCATGCTATTCATATAAGCTCTTTCTACCTCGATACTGAGACACTGATTTGTATTCAACTTGAATTGAGGGTTTGTCGGAGTTAGAATAGGATTTGAATTCAACATACCAAACTTTTCGAGAATCTTCTTCAAGTATGCCTCTTGAGATAAGCATAATCTAGACTGCTTTCTATCTCTTCAGATGTCAATCCCAAGAATTTTGGATACAGCTCCCAGATCCTTCATATCGAACTCCTTATTGAGTCCAACCTTCACTTTCATTACATCCTCGACAGTGTTGCTTGCTATGAGAATATCATCCACATAAATCAACAAAATAACAAATGAATTTATAGGTCAAAATCTAAAGTAAACACAATGGTCGATCTGACTTCTAATGAAACCTATGTGTGCCATGAACTTGTCGAATCTCCTATTCTATTGTCGAGGAAATTGTTTCAGTCCATATTCACATCCATTTGTTCCAATTCATTTGTTCCAATTCCAGGCCGAATTGTGCCATTATGGCAAGCAATATTCCAATGGATATGTGCTTCACAACACGAGAGAAGACATCACTGAAGTTGACACCTTGTTTCTGAGTGAAACCCCTTATGACAAATCTTGTCTTGTATCTCTTTGACGTCACTCATTCGGTTCCTTTCTTAACTTTAAAAATCTACTTACAGATGACTAATCTAGCTTCAACAAGTTTCTTGATCAGTTCCTAAGTGTGGTTATTATGAAGAGACTTCATCTTATCATCTATGGCCTTCAGCCATTCAGTCTTATTTCGACTTATCATAAATTCCTTATAGTCTCTAGGTTCTCCATCCAGAGCCTTACTTGTAGAGATTAAGGCATAAGCTATAAGATATGCATACCCAAGTCTTTGAGGTGGCTTGATGAGTCTTCTCGACCTATCTTTTTCCAACAGGTAGTCATCAGCAGTTTCCTCAGTTTTGATAACTTTTTCAGTTTCTTCTACTTCATCTGGGTCATGCAATTCAACATCACTATGCTCCACCTGTCGCACCCTAATTTTTGACCACAAGATCTCACCTCTGTTTGTGCATTTTCTTTTGCTATTTGACTTTATTTTAATATGCATGTTTTACGGCTAACGAATGCGCGCAGGGTTATTTTGTTGCGAAGACGTCTCTGGCGGAGTTTCATGATTAGATCCCCTTAAATCAAGATTTTTGGTCCTTTTCAAGCTTTCTCTCTTTATCAAGGAAGGTTTGACAAGACAAGGTTCGTACAGGAACTGAGATCATGGATTCATAGATTGAAGCATTGGTAGTACAAGATTTTGGATTCAAGATTTAAGGATGATTCATTTGATGCGTTTCAAATTGATATCCAATTCCATCAAGTGTATTCTAAAAGGGTTCAAGACTTTTGTTTTTTAATAAGCTGGGATTAAGCTCAATTTAAGTCATCACTTTGGTTAAGGTGGCACCTAAATTCAAGGGAGGATTGCAAGTCCATTCAGTTATGAGCACAAGTTCGAGTCCTTTTGAGATCTGTTAAGCATTTTTTGCAAGTTCATTATAAAGAAAATCGCCTGAGGGATTCATTCGATTTCTACACAATTGACGTCGAATTCACATAATGAAACTTCGAATACATTACAAGTCACTCTTTCACAGGGTACAAATTGGTAAATTCACCACTCAAGAATTTCATGTGTTCACATTTACATGAAGAATCATTTCAGGGTTTTCCATTTTTGGGTTATCTTAACAATTGATGCTGCTACAATGGTGAACATGACAAGGTTTAGAAGTTTACACATGTGAGCTCTACAGTAATTCAAAAGACATTCATATACGGATTACAAAGACTTTATACTTTACAACATTAAGTAACTCAGTATATAACAAGACCCAGACAATTAGGATTCTGCTTTTGTTTCCTAAGGTTTTCCCCGTTTGTGAAGCTACACGGCGCAAGATCTTCAGCACAATGAGAACTATCCGGTTACGGTTTCGTACAGCTCCAAACACGGTCCGGCTCAGCTGGAGGAAAGATTTTCGCCTGCATTCCAAGAGGCGAAGCCATTAGTTGCGCTAAGAGAATTTGCGCGGCTGTA